GCAATGAGTGCTGTGTCAGGCAGTGCCAGAGCTCCACTGTTGCCATCCAGCCCTCTGCTGTGGTGGTGACCCTGCCCGGGCCCATCCTCAGCTCCTTCCCACAGAACACTGTGGTGGGATCCTCCACCTCCGCTGCCGTTGGCAGCATCCTCAGCTCTGACGGAGTGCCCATCAACTCCGGGGGCTTTGACCTCTCCTGCATCACCAACCGCTACAGGTGTCGGCCCTGCTAAAGCTGCTGGCAACATCCTGGGGCAAGAACCTCCAAGACCTCACAATATGGGGCTGGACTGAGAACAGAGCTTCAGGACATTGTGTTTAAAGCTTCAAGGCATTGTTCCCTTCTTCTAGTCTCTCCTCTCCCTTTTTCCTTGTTGTTTGTGTCTTACCAGGCCAACCCAGGGGGACCTGTTGCCCTTTCTGCAGATGGACACCCTGGAGGAACTCCACTGCATCTTAGTGGCTGCTCCTCGTGCCCTCTGTGAGCAACCTCCTTTGCTTCTTTAGACCCATTAAATTTTTTGTGCATCCAAGCCCGGCCTTCTGAGTCGTCCTTTGTTCTCTCAGAACTCTTCCTGTGGGCTCAAGGATTAAGGTGTAGAAGCAGTAGGTGAGACTCCCTGCAATGGATTTTCCTTTGTGAAAATCAACTTCAGTGAGGGGCACAACCATTCTCTTAGAGGAGTATTTCTTCTCCCCGCCATGGGCTCTGCAGGGAACAGGACCAATCTGTGCAGTTACACTGGAAGGACAATACTACTGCTAAGCCCAGGAAGGCACAGCCCAGCATGGATCTGAGCCTCATTATACTCTGGGCCCAGGAAATGGACCCCCGGCTTCCTCAGGATGGATCCCTTCAGAGCACAGCAGAACTTTGCCCTACATGTGTTAGATAATCCCTCCACTCTTCTGGGTATCTCTTATCTGCCACCTGAGACAGAAGTCTAATTTGGACCTGCTGACTCATCCCTTGGGACTTCTCATTTCCCTTGGTTGTGACAAAAGTTCATTTCCTCGAGTCCCCCTGTGCTATTCTCTGTCTCCAGTGTATGTCTCTTTAGGTGATCAGTTCTAGGAAATAAATAGGACAAGCACATCCCCATTTCTCCCAGGTATGGACATGTGTGTTCACCACTGGTAACCCCATGGGCACTGTATTGGTTTTAACACCAGCAGGAAATTAAACTCTAAATAAGCCACTCTCCCTCCTCTAAACCTTCTGGTAAAGGGAGGGACAAAAAGAGGAGACTATGGGATGAGATTACAATTTATCAAAAGCACAAAGTAATGGACTAAGACACACACAATAACAACAACTGTATTAATAGCTAAAGTATAGAAAAAGATAAAGTGTTTTGCCCACAAAAACGGTGTTCACTGTAGCAACTGGGACACCCTCGCTGGTCAGCAAGAGAATTATTTATTATTTATTTCAAGCCTTTCTTTATAGAGGAATTAGTTTCATTTCTGGTCTGTGAGCTAAGCATCTTCAACCTATCAACAAGCAATACTTGACCCTATAAAACTGCAGTACACATATTTCTACCTATTAACAACTAATGTCCATCTTTACACCTATCAGCTTTCAACACACTTTCTTCTTTTCTTCAATCTTCTTGTTCTGGGTCATATGACCTTTGGCTCCACACACATTGTAGACACTTCCTCCCTCCTTCTGCCACATTCTCTTCAGTTCTGGCAATGTCCTCTGCTTTGGTAACCATTTGTGTGCTTGCTCTGGTCACGATCCTCCACAGTTCACCACCAGGAACGAAAACAATATGGAAGACTGTGGGGAGGAAGAGGTTGAAAACGAAAGATTGGTGAGGAGAAAGAAAATAAGTTGTTTTTAGAATTGTTTTTACTCAAAAAACAACTTTGAAGGTGGGAAATACTAAGAGTATTTTTAGTATGGGAAGTTTCACGTCTTTTGCTTGGTGTGGATTGTCTTCCATCTGTTGAAAGAAATGGAACTCCCTCAAAGAAGATAATAGAATGTTGTTAAAGACTTCAAAGTACTCTTTCCCATCTACCAATACATCAGTTCTCACCTGGACACTCCCTGTAGGATGTGCCCATGTATCCCCAGACAAGGGCAATGTGGTGACTGTTCGTGCATGCCACCCCCCACGGCCATCAGGAAACAAAGGGAACATGGCACAGGAGCTCCCTCGGCTGAAGTTTCCCACTGACAGCCAGAAAGCAATGAAAAGCAACAACAAACAAACCCCAGAAACAGGGTTGTATGAGCAGGGGTAGCACAGCCGCTTTGCTGGACTCTTCTATGGCATAGCCTCTTCTATGGCTTCACCTCCCTGCAGGTCCATCCCTTGGGTCACTGCTGCTTGTTTTCTCCCACTGCTCAACTGCCCTCCTTTCAGCTCAGTTCAGCTGGGTTTGGCAGGGCTCCTTTCCTTGGACAGCTTGGCTGGGTTGGAGTTGTCCTTGCTGCTGGTTCCTTCCCTGCCAGAACCCTCCCCGCTGGCGCTGTCAGTTCAGCACCATGGTTGATCAAGGTTTTGCTGCTGTCCCTTTCAGCACCAACACCCCCAGCCATGCTCTCATCTTTCCTTGGAACCACATCCTCCAAAACAACATGTAGGAACAAGGGACGGTGTGCTGGGGCTGTTGCCAACAGTCCCTCTGCTGAAGATAGAGCGAGGCAAGATGGTGCACTTCCAGTCCAACACCTGGGTTGTTTTCTCCCAAGACCATGACCCCAGAGATGACATGGGTGGTATAGAATGACAACCTGGTCACACCCACACAGCGCCAAACTCCTCCCCCCTCTTGGTAACCAGGACAGGTGCACTGAAGGGTAGGGCTGTGCAGAAGGATGTGTAGTGGTGGGACAAATGGAAATGGGTTTAAACTGACAGACAGGAAGTCTGGATTAGATGTCATGAAGAAATTCTTCTCTGTGAGGGTGGCGAGGCACTGGAACAGGTTGCCTGGAGTTGGATGTAACACTTTCATTCCTAGAAGTGTTCAAGGTCATATTGGACAGGGCCTGGAGAAACCCAGTCTAGTGGAACGTGTCTCTGACCATGGTGGGGGACTGAGACAAGATGATCTAAGCCAAACCACTCTATGACTCTGTGACTCTATGATCTGTGGGTTGTCCATGACAGGAACCGTCTTCCTTTGACTAATGCTCTTGGCCACTGGTTAGGTCAAATGTTTCAGTCATGAAGACATGGACAGACATCCATATATGGGAGGAATGTTTTCAATTAACAGCGAAGCCAAAAGTTTTTTGCAAAAGTCATTTACAACTGCATAACCTGAGTGTGGCTGACACCAATCCCAAGCTGTGAATTACCTCAGCCCTGCATGTCTGCACAGAGGCTTTGCCTGCCTGTGCTGAGGAACTGTAGGAGGCACATATCTCATCTGCCTGTGCTTCTGTGTGCTGGGCATGGACCCCAAAGTGGGTTATGGAGGGGAGGAGAAGGAGGAGATGAGGTTGTGGGATGTCCCCACATATTGTTTTTTCCCTTCACCACTCCTACCACACTTTTGAGCCATGGTCTCCCTGAAAATCATTGGCTGGGGAGTATACAGTTATGTTTTCCTCAGCTCCAAGGAAAAAGGAAAAAAAAAATCCACTGCTGGGAATCCCACCTACTGCTTCTCCATCTTTTTCCCTGATCAGACTGGAAGGGTTACCACAGAAAGAAGGATGACTCAGAGGCCCAGGCTTGAATGCACAAAAAGTTTAATAACTATAAAGAGGAGAAGGAAGTGGCTCACAGAGAGTACCAGGAACAGCCACTAAGATGCAGTGGAGCTCCTGCAGGGTGTCCATTTACTGACCCTGCAGAGGGACAGGTTGCTCTGGGCTGGCCAGGGAGACATGGAGAGCAAAGGCAAGAGATGGAAGAGTAGGAAGAGGAAACATCACCCTGAAGCTCTAAACACAATGGCCTGAAGCTCTATCTCCTGCCCAGCCACATATTCTGAGGTCTTGGAGGTTCTTGCCCCAGGACGTTGCCAGCAGCTTTAGCAGGGCCGACACCTGTAGCGGTTGGTGATGCAGGAGAGGTCAAAGCCCCCGGAGTTGATGGGCACTCCGTCACAGCTGAGGATGCTGCCAACGGCAGCGGAGGTGGAGGATCCCACCACGGTGTTCTGTGGGAAGGAGCTGAGGATGGGCCCGGGCAGGGTCACCACCACAGCAGAGGGCTGGATGGCAACAGTGGAGCTCTGACACTGCCTGACACAGCACTCATTGCAGCTGTTGGCCAGCGGGGTCGGGCCGCAGGGCTGGCAGCAAGGGTTGCAGGGCTGGCAGCACGACATGTCTCTGGCTCACAGGGGCACCTGGCACACAGGGCAGGGAGAAGCACAAAGCAGACACACATGAGAAGCAGCCCTGCACCCAACTCCCCTGCAGACAAGGCACCTCCTGCACCACATGACACTGCCCAGCCCAAAGCCCAGCAGCCTCCTCAGCCAAGTCCCAGCCTCTCTCTGCACAACACCTTCTCTCCCCTTCCCTCTCCCAGCACAAGCAGCTCCCAGCCCTGGGCTAACACAGGGCTAACATATCAGCTGAGACCTGCAGTGAGGAAGGATGTGGTCTTGAAGCAGGAGGAGAAGGAGAAGAGGCTTCCCACTCACCTGATTCCTGAGGAGAAGGAGGTGAGAGAATTGAATGCGAGAGCAGAGACTTGGGCTGCCTTTTATAGCAGTCCTGCACTGCCTCAGGCCCACTGGCACCTTTGTGCAAGTCATAATTTTCTGACCAGCTCATGTCAGTTGTGAACCATCCCAGCTAATGGTAGGGGCTGTGTCCTGGTTTCCTGCACTGCTGCCTTTTCATTTCCTGGCACATGCCACGTGCTTTCCCACATGAAGGCTTTTGAAAGTGCCAGGAGGACAAGCCTAAGGATTTCCGGGACATAAACATGTCAGTGCTGGCAGAATGGTCAGATCATGGGCTGTTGGTATCCCTTGGGGGCAGGTGATGTGAATCTGTGTCAATTTGTGTGTTTGTTTGTGGCAAAGCTGTAGTGGCACAGTACACTTCTCCTGTCTTGGCATCCAGGCAGGAGACCCTTCTGTGTAAGGTTGAGCTGTGGGGGAAGGGGTCTCAGTTCTCCCCTGACATTCCTAATTTCCCCTATGCACCTGTGGATGAAGCTTCTGTTCCTGTGAGGGGCTGGGGTTGTTGCCTGAGGGAAAAGGACTTCTCCTTGAGAGAGCTTCTGCCACTGAAGTGTTCGTACTCCCTCGACTCCCAGGATGGGACTGGAGTTGCCATGAGCTGCAAAGAGACAGCAAGGGCTGTTCTGATGGGTGCTCTCTCTATGGCTCCATGGCAGCAACTGGCCGTTGCTTGCCTGTGTCATCCTACTGGCCCATGGGAATAACCTTCCTGTCCTGAAGGTGCTCTGTGTGATGGGGTTGGGGATGTGCTCTCTGCAAGGCACCTCAGCCCTGCAAATGTGTGCAGTGAACATTTGGGGCTGCCTGGGCACTGCGTGGATGTGATGGAAAAGCAGGGGACTTGTCCGAGGTATCCTTGCTCTTGGATCTAAGGAATGCCCCCTTCTCCTGGAGATGGGTGGGAAGGTGTGGAGGAGGCTCTGGGCTCAAGCCAAGGTGATTTCTCCCTCATGACCATCTTCTGTCTGAGCCTTCTTCCCCAGCAGAGCTCCACCCACAGCAAAAGGATCTGCCTTAAGTGCTTGTGGGTCTGCTGACCCTCTGCAGCACCAGGGTCCTCCCAAGAGTACAGCACAATTTGAGATCACCATCTGTAAGGGCATTTTCCAAGGCAAAGGGCCATACTTCTGGGTAGAGACGTAGCAAGGGAAGGACTGATAGTCACTGGCTCTGGAGTAGCCGGAGCTGTTGTCCTCACCTCCAAGGGCCAGGGCCTGAAGGAGGCCAACAGGCAGTGGGTCCTATCCTCTTTGTTCTCTAGAAATGAGAAAGGGTCCCTTAAAACAAGATGTCTCTGAGAAAATGCCACAATGAAAGGATCATCATGGGCAGCCAAGAGGCAGTGCTCCACAGAGGGAGAGAGGGAGGCAAGTTGCCCCGAGGTGGTTTTGTTGGGCTTCATTGCCCAGGGATCAAAAAACAGCACAGGAATAGAGGGGAAAGGAAAAAGCAGAAGGAGAGAATGAGACAGGCCATATTCTCAGATAATCCAGTCTGGCCCCTCCCAAAGGACTGACACCATTAGTAGCAGTGGGACCTGCTCAGCCTCTCTCAAACCAGTGGCCACGATCTCTGTCGTTCTGTCTGGCATCATCTTCTGGATTCACAGAGCTCCTTGTCCAGTCTGTCTGCAGTGTCTGTAGCAAGGGGGGCACCTTCTGCTGCCACAGTAGTAGCTGGTGATGCAGGAGAGGTCACAGCCCCTGGAGTTGAGGGGCACTCCGTCACAGCTGAGGATGCAGTGGAGGTGGAGGATCTCACCTGGGAGAGAGGGTAGGCAGGAAACAGAGCACAGGGACACCTGAGGAACTGTCTGTAACCCCACTAAAAGGAAGCAGAGGCAATTGCTGGGTGGGGAGGTAGAGACTATGGAAGGAGAATGAGGGATCCTTTCCCTGAGCACAGAGGGTTCCCTTGGATAACAGCAAGGCCCAAGGACACCCCTGTCTTCCTGTAGCAAGGAGCCATATCAGCCCAGCCCCAGCCCCTCTCCATATCAGCCCTCCATCTGTACAGCCTTCAGAACCACATTGTTCAGCTGAGATTGTCCAGGAAGAACGGGAGACCCAGGTGAAAAGGGGGATAAATCTCTTTTGTCTACCTCTGGAGTCTTTGAATAGGAACTCTGAACAGCTGTGTGGTCTCCCAGAGCCATGCAGTGCTCCCCAGAGATCGGCTGGATGTATGGATTTCCTTTCAGAGGACTCATTCCACCCCGACAAGGCTCATATCTTCAAAACCTTAAGACAATTTATCATATGTGTTTGTGACTTATAGTGAGGCATGACATTGGCATCACTAGAGTGCCAAATGGATCTTTTGAAGGAATTTCCAGTCCAAGCATTTACTCTGTCTATGGGACTTCAAACCAATACAAAAGTTTCTGTGTTTGGAGGGGGAGTCTGTAGAAAAAGACCTTGGTCTCAAAACTAGGAATGGTGGGGAATACTTTAAAGGCATCAGAAGGGTCCTGTTCCATTTCTCATGCCAGTGTTGAGCTTGAATTCCTAACTTTTGGAGATGAAGTCCTAGTATGAACAGGAAAGCCTTGGAAGGAAAATAAACTTGGAGGATTCACTTTCTGTTTCTACATGAGTTTGCTCAGAAGTAATCAATCAAACAAACAAAACCCAGTTATGATTCTGTGTTTTTAACTGAAGAGTTATATTAGCAAGATATATTAGATCTTTGTGTTCCCAGGGCTTCCCAGGGATTCTTGGCCATTTTATTGGATTCAGAGTCCTCCCAGAACAGCCCCTGCCCATTTCATGTCAGCAATGCCTTGGGAGCTGTGGCACAGCCGAGGGCTGTCCAGTTGCCCATGGGCAGGAGGGTGTCTTCCACCCTTGGGCAGTGTAGAAAGGTGCTGCTCATTGCTCAGAGTTGCTGCCATGGGCATCTGGTGCTGCCACAGCTCATGAAACTGGCAGCAGGAACAAGTCAGGTGCTGCAGCCTGGGGGTACAACACCCCAAAACAACACTGTGTGGCCCATGAAAGGCCAGTGCACCCAAGGAAACAGTGGCTTAAAGCACTAAGTGAGCAGGAGCCACAGCCCTGAGGGCACTGCAGTGACTGGCAGGAGCAGAGCTGTCCATGGTGATACCCCGTGTCTGGAAGTAAGGGCACCTCAGACCCAGGGAATGTGGTGCCCTGAAAGCAGTCAAAGGGGAGGGTGATGTCACAGAACAAGGTGTGGCAGAAGGTTTGAAAGATTAATTACATTAGGATAAATAAGCTATTGTTTGACTTGTACATAATTTGGATATATCCACCTGCACTTAACACGTGCAGACCCTGCCCCTCCCTCTGCCCCTGCCATGGCTTTTCCCCTGCCTCTGTCTCTGTCATGTTCTGCTCTTTCCCAGATTTCCAGCCTGCCCAGCAAGGCAGGGGGAGGCAAGGACAGGAAAGAGAGGTAGCCCTGGCATAGGCAGGCTCTGTGCCTTTGAGCAGAGGGGTCCAAGCAGCCCTCCTTTGCCCTACAAGTTTTTCACAGCTCAGGCCAGACAGTGAAAAATTTCTCCTAGCCATGGCCCCAGGGTGCTGTACTCCATGGGTCCCAGACACACCAGGAGTCCAGAAGCAAGGAAGAGGGTAGCTCTGGCTATTGCGTGTCTGATCAAAAAGCCAACAGTGCAGACAGAGGTCCCTGCTCCCCTGGCCTTCAGAAAATTTCCCAGGATTTGGCAGCTGGAGGGTTTTGGGCTTCTCTCTGCAACTGCTGAGCTCTCTAGTCTGTCAATCCCATATCTGTCATATGGCATGGAAAGGTCTGAAAGGCTTTTGAAAACCTTGTCTGGATACAGGGACGTCCATTCAGACGTGGTGAAGGGCCACATCCAGGCTTTTCTTGACCATCCGGTTGTGCCACCATGACCCAGGGACACCTACTGGCAACTCAGATGGGTGTGAGGCTGCCACAGAATGGCACCAGTTTCCCCAGTTGTAGCTGAAATCAGCTCTTGACTGGTCTCAAGTGTGTCAGATCTTGGGAGTTTTTGAGTCTGCTCCCCACAGCCCAGGACCTGCCAACTCCTTACTTGCTCCAGCTGGGAGGCAGAGACTTTCACAGCCATGGCCAGGATACCAACAAGCACTGTGGTGTCAGGGCTCCTGGATGGTCATGAAGATGGTCTGTCCTCTCTGAGGGAGAAAGGTATTTCCCTTTCTAAAAAAAAAAATAAGGAGGAAAAAAATTGTGGATCAAGGTAAAGACAGAGGGATTACTTGCTGCTTACCGACAGAGGTAAACACAGGCTTGACTTGAGGAATTTCTATTCTACATTTTACCAATAAACCAGAGAAACATTGCAAGAAAATGCAAAAAAATCCCACAAAATTGAACTAAAATGCCTTCACTCCATCCCCAATTCTTTTTCACAGACACAATGCCTCTTGCTCATTCCTCATTCTCCTATTTCCTCCACCCTTAAGCAGCACAGCGGGATGCACAATGTGGGATTGTGGTCAATACACAACAGTTTCTTTCTATGCAAAGATGGACTTTACCAGACCTGATCATGAAAAGCAGCAAGATTTTGGCAGTTTGCCTAAAGTTCACATCTTCTTGCCTTTCCAGACACAGCTGCTAGGCATGCAGGCTCAATCTTTCTGGGGGGGGTGGTGTGTGGAAGTCCTGGTGCTTGAACACAAAAGGAGTTTGACTCAAATAATGTTTGACTTCGCTTGTGCCACACAGAGAGTCTGTTCTACATCTCCAAGCAGAGCACAATCCAGATCCCAGCCCCTTCACTCCAGCATCCATTTGAGGCAAGGTGCTGCAACTGCCTCACTCAGCACTAGGTTGATGAACTGTTGAAGTGCATCTGGCATTGGCCTGGACATGAGGGGCCCCTGTCCCATCCCAGGCACAGCAACACTCCAGCATAAGGGGATCAATTCAGGGGCTTCAATTCAGTGGTCTGATAGAACCACTCAAAAGTCTGTATGCTCATACAAGGACAGGAAAAGTTCAGCAACTGGGGACTCTGCTGAGGAGATGCTGGGATGTCCCCCCACACGGCAGTCCTTGGGTGTGCTGGTGAGAAGCACAAGAGTGATGAC